TCCTTTCTTCCTCTTTTCTTCCTTCCTTCCTTCCTCCTTCCTTCCTTCCTTCCTTTCTTTTTCTTTCCCTTTTTTTCTCATTCTCTCTCTTTCTTTTTTCTCATTCCTTTCTTCTTTCCTCGCTCCCTCCCACCCTCCCAGCCTTAACTTTTCTTCTTCCTTCCTTTCCCTTTCTTCTTTCTCATTCCTTTCTTCCTTTCCCTCCTCCTTCCCTCACACCTCCCTCCCTCTTCCTCCTTCCTCCTTCCTCCCTCTTCTCTTCTCTCTCTCTCTCTCTTTTTTCTTTCTTTCTTTTTCTCTCGCATAGCTGGATAACCGATGCCTGCCATGCGGTGCCCTTCATCTAATTATCAAGTTCTCTCCCCGCTTTATTTCTTTACGGCTTCTGAGTGCCGTGATATTTCAAATATGGCCCCGGGGAGATTCATCTGCAAAGCGAAGACTCCACAGAGCCACTTCTGTTGTTGGGAGATGCTCCACCTGGGACAAAATCATTTTGTAATTTTATTTAGTGCGATTCAGTCCTGTAACCTACTGAGAATCTGTTGCGCATGTGAATGTCAAAAACAAGAGCAAAGTGATTAACGGAATGAAGAAGAATGAAGGAAAGTAACCAGCCGGCAACGTCTGGGTGAAAATTATACATGCAATTAATCCTCAACTTACAACCATTCCTTTACTGACTACTTGAAGTTACGATGGGTAAGCAAAGTCAACGGGTTAGCTGGATTCACTTAACGACCAAGTTCCCAACTTAACAACTGCAGCGACCCGCTTAACAGCAATGGCAAGACAGGTTGTAAAATGGGGCAAATCTCATGGACTATCAGTCATCCAATTCTCGACAATAACCGGGGAATTTAAAACTTTCGAAAGGCTCCTGAACTTTGAAATGCTTAAATACGCCAAATTTCATGTTTTTCTGCCTCTGAGATTTGCAGAGGTCGGCGGCCCCGCTTTAAGCTAATTAAGAAGATGGGTTGTCGCTGTTGTTTTTTCCTGTTGGAGTCCCACATTCTTGGGTTGGTCTTATTATCATAAACTTTTTTTCCTTTTCTTTCTTTCAATCGTAACTGTCCCCCTGGGGACATCGAAATGCGCTGGAATGAAAACAGAGCCGATAATGAGACCAACAGCAAAGTTTTTCAAACTTTTAAAAAGCAAACCAACTCAGAGAAAATTCAGAGGAGTTGTAAATGAAGAATTATTATGTTTAAATAACTCCTTGTTTACTTATTTATTTACATTTCCTATTTCATAATCGCCATCTCCCTCGGTGGGGAGGGTAGTGCCCACGAATAAGATGAAATTGAGGAAGGTCTTCAACTTACAATCATTCGTTTAGTGATCATTCACTAAAGTTACAACGGCGCTGAAAAAATGGACTTATGACTGTTTTTCACACTCACGACCGTTGCAGCATTTCCCGTGGTCACGTGATCAAAATTCAGACGCCTTGGCAACTGGTTCCTATTTATGACGGTGGCATCATCCTGTAGTCACCTGCTACCCCTTTGCGACCTTCCGACAAGCAAATTCATTGAATTTGCCATTACTAACTTAACAACTGCGGGTATTCACTTAACAAACGTAGCAAGGAAGGTCGTAAAACGGGGCAAAATTCACTTAACAGCTGCCTCAACAGAAATTTGAGGGTCAGTTGTGGTTGTAAGTCAAGGACTATCTGTGTATCAGAATAACAGAATTGGAACAGAGTTAAAAGAATGTGGAGGTCATCTAGTCCAGCCCACTGTTCGTATAGGGGACCCCCATACTGGATGAACGGCTATCCAATTTCTTCTTAAAAACGTTCAGTGTTGGAGCATTCACAACTTCCAAAGGCAACTTCTGTTTCACTAATTTATTGTCCTGACTGTCAAGAAATTTCTCCTAAGTTCCAAGTTGCTTCTCGCCTTGATGAGTTTCCACCCGTTGCTTCTTCTCCTGCCTTCAGGTGCTTTGGAGAATAGCTTGACAGCTTCTTCTTTGGGGCAGCCCCTCAGATACTGGATCAACGCCATCATGTCCCCCCTTTTTTCATTAAAGCGGACACCCCCAATCCCTGCAACTGTTCTCCATATGTTTAGCCTCCATTCTTCATACATTTTAGTATGCGCCAGCCATCTGGTGCAGTTACCCCAAAAAAGCCAATGCAATGCTAGGCTGCATTAACCAAGGGTTAAAATCCAGATCACGTGAAATGTTAATACCACTTTATAAGGCCTTGGTGAGACCACAGTTGGAATTCTGCATCCAATGTTGGTCACCATGATGTAAGAAAAGAGGTTGAGACTCTGGAAAGAGGGCAGAGAAGAGCAACAGAGAGGATTAGGGGACTGGAGACTAAAACATGTGAAGAACGGTTGCAGGAACTGGGTATGTCTAGTCTAATGAAAAGAAGGACCAGGGGAGACATGATAGCACTATTCCAATATCTCAGGGGCTGCCCCAAAGAAGAGGGAGTCAAGCTATTCTCCAAAGCACCTGAGGGCAGAACAAAAGGCAACGGATAGAAACCAATCAAGGAGAGAAGCAACTTAGAACTAAGGAGAAATTTCCAGACAGTGAGAACAATTAACCAGTGGAACAACTGGCCTCTAGAAGTTGTAAATGCTCCAACGCTGGAAGTTTTTAAGAAGAGGCTGGACAGCCATTTATCTGGAATGATACAGGATCTCCTGCTTGGGCAGGGGGTTGGACTAGTTGACCTCCAGGGCGCCTTCCAGCTCTATTATTCAGTATCCTACTTTGCAAACAATTTCGCACAATTTTTCCTGTGGTGTTGTTTCTCTCGCCGTCTTCAGAATTCAGGGAGGTCTTTGAACTCTTCGACCGGACTCAAAAGGGCGAACTGAAAATCACTTACGGGCAATGTGGAGATGTCTTGAGGTCCTGCGGCCAGAACCCCACCCAGGCAGAAGTCCACAAAGTCCTCGGACGCCCGAAACCAGACGGTCAGTCTCTGCGGCTCAATGGCCTTGAGCGATAAGCAATTTTGCACGTTGAGTGGGTTTTTCCATCCCAAACGGGCCAAAATAATTTTATTGGAAGGAAGTCCTCACTTAATGACCACTCCCTTAGAGACTTCTTGGAAGTTACGGTGGATTTTCCCAGAGCTTCTTATGACCTGGGTTCAAAATTCCGATAGTCGCCCCTCTCCCACGCACTCACGCGACAGTCCCATTTTGGGGTGCTCAGCCCGTATTACGGCTGTTTTGATGTATCCTGTGGTTACACAATCATCTTTTGCGGTGTTTTTTGGGGTGGCTTCTGGCAAAAGATGCCGCTGGGGAAAAGGGGTTCGTTTAACAACGGCAGCGTTCGCTTAGTAATTGCAGCATTTGCTTAACGACTGAGGCGTTTACATAGTGACTGCAGTGTTTTCTTAACAACTGCAATGTTTGCTTAATAACTGCAGCATTCATTTAATGTGCAGCATTCACTTAACAATTGCAGTGTTCGCTTAATGACTGCAATGTTTGCTTAATGACTGCAGCGTTCACTTAACGACTGCAATGTTTGATTAATAACTGCAGTGTTCGCTTAACAACTGCAGTGTTTGCTTAATGACTGCAGTGTTTGCTTAACGACTGCAGTGTTCACATAACTTTAGCATTCGCTTAATGACTGCAATGTTTGTTTAATAACTCAAACATTCACTTAATGACTGCAATGTTCGCTTAATAACTGCAGCGTTCACTTAATGATTGCAGTGCTTGCTTAATGACTGTGGTGTTCGCTTAATGACTGCAGTGTTCGCATAACTTCAGTGTTCCCTTAATGACTGCAGTGTTTGTTTAATAACTCAAACATTCACTTAATGACTGCAGTGTTTAATAACTCAAACATTCACTTAATGACTGCAGTGTTTGCTTAATAACTCAGCGTTCGTTTAATGACTGTGGTGTTTGCTTAATAACTCAGCGTTCGCTTTATGACTGCAGTGTTTGCATAATAACTCAGCGTTCGCTTAATGACTGCAGTGTTTGCTTAATGACTGGGGTGGTTTGCTTAACAACTGCAGTGTTCGCATAATAACTTCAGCGTTCACTTAATGACTGCAGTGTTTCTTTAATAACTGCCGGTAGAACATTCACTTAACGACTGCAGTGTTTGCCTAACGACTGCCGCCTTCATTTCACGGCTGCCGTGTTTGCTTAACGACGGCAGCAGCTTGCTTCCCAAAGCTGCGGGTGTCTCCATCCCTGGAGTTTCCCAAGAAGAGACCGGACAGCCCTTTTGTCCAAGATTGCCTCTCCTGCTCGAGCGGGGGGGTGGCGGGGTCAGACTAGAGGACCTCCAAGATGTGTCCCCCCCGTCGTTCTCTCTTTGCAATGTGGCGGGTGAAACTTTTCCCCTCTCTTTGGGCAGAGATGAACAGCAAGATGCTGGACTTCGACACGTTCCTGCCCATGCTCCAGCACATCGCCAAGACCAAAGACACGGGCACCTTCGAGGACTTTGTGGAGGGCTTGCGCGTCTTCGACAAGGAAGGGAACGGCACCGTGATGGGAGCGGAGCTGCGCCACGTCCTGGCGACCCTCGGTAAGGCTGGCCCCGCGGAGGGGAAGGGAGCGAAACGGAGGGAGGCTTTTGTCGCGGCATCGCTTTCCCACACCTCGACTCGAAATGCGAAGAGGAAGTCCTCCACTTACGGGACCAGGATCCCCGTTGCTAAGCAAGGCTTAGGGAGGTTCGGGGGGGCCAGCTCGATTACATAACCCCCCCCCTTTTTTAAAAATAACCAGGGTTTTATCAATAACAACAGCCCTTAGACTCTATCCCGCTTCGCGGGGCTTTTGCAGCCGCTTCTAAGCGGTTTACACAGAGTCAGCATTTTACCCCACCAACAATCTGGGTCCTTGTTGAACTGACTTCGGAAGGATGGAAGGCAGAGTCAATCTTGAGCCTGCTGAGATTCGAACTCTTGCCAGCGGGCAGAGCTACTCTGCTGCATTCTAAACACTGCACGCCATGGAAGGCAGTGGTGGGATTCAAATTTTTTGACTCCCGGTTCTGTGGCCGTGGTTTGGTGGGCGTGGCAGGGGAAGGAGGCTGCAAAATCCCCCTTCCCTCCCCACCCCACTAGCCTGCTTTCCAGCTCTGTTCTCCTGTGCAGGGCAACCAAAGGAGACCCAGCCGATCAGCTGGGACTCAATGGGAGGCAGAGAATGGAAGGGGGCAGGGCCAGTCAGAGGCGGGATTTGCTGGTTTTCCAAACTATTCAAACTTTCCACTACTGGTTCTCCAGAACTGGTCAGAACCTGCTGAATACCACCTCTGATGGATGGAAGGAAGGAAGGAAGGAAGGAAGGAAGGAAGGAAGGAAGGAAGGAAGGGAAGGAGGGAAGGAAGGAAGGGAAGGAGGGAAGGAAGGAAAGAAGGAAGGAAGGAAGGAAGGAAGGAAGGAAGGAAGGAAGGA